AGAGAACGCTAACCTTGCTCGAGGTGACTTCTGGCGTGGAGGACAGTAAGGCGGGTGGGGAGGCGGTTATTGCTTGGAGGGAGAGTCCTTCCTACAGGAAGCCACGACCACGTGTCCTGGCAGAGAAAATGGCTGCGGATCCTGTTCGTCACCCGATGCGGAGTTTGCGGACGGAAGCAAAATTTTGCGAACGGTGCTATTCGTGACCCGAATTGGTCATGAGCAGAAGCGTTCGTGACCCGAGGTACCACTGTATTTCATACCTTCTTTGTGAATTGAGAAAAGAAAAGGGTTGCGTGTCAGATTGTATAATTCAAAAAAGGGTGGAAAATTTTTAGAAGGTGTAAAGAACTTGGATGTAAAAACAGCCATAGTGTTTGCGAACTGGGCAGGGTTCACTTTGCCTGGTCTGATAAGGCTGATTTGTTTCTACTATTGAATCCTCTACATATCTTCAATCTCAGCTTGGTGTATACAGAAAAGTCTTTTTTCTTTCTATAGATGATTTGTACTTGTCTGTTAAATTTACATGCCACCCTTTTTCCAGAAACTCAAAATAGAGGGTGTCCTTTTATTTCCACAACAACATCGCTGTGTGGTAGGTTGGGCTGAGAGAGTCACCAGCTGAGGTCACTGAGATTTGAACATCAGCCTCCTTAGTCCTAGTCCAACACTTTGGCTATGACATGACACTGGTTTAGAACTAAGGTAATCACATCTGGTCTGTAATAATGTTTTCTGGATCTCTTTGCTACCATATCATCTGGATATGATATACTATACCATGTCATCTTGATTTTTGCAGCCCAGATCTGATAGCCCTGTTATAACCCAATATAAATATTCAAACAAATACTGTATAACGTTGCTTAAATAAAGCTGCCTATATTTTGTAAGTTCTGCAGGAATAGTGGATATATCTCAAACTCTGAATCCTTAGTTGGATTCAGACTCGAGGAAACTAATAGGAGAGCTGTATAAAATATCCCTACAATTCACTGTTTTCAGTATATGTGTTGTTCTGAATATTGATAGCATTTGTTTTGAGGATTACTTATATCTAAATTCATTAAGGTATTCAACACAATTTACAAATAGAACCTGCCTTGCCAAACATCTTCCTTATGATTTAAGAGATCCAGTGCACTAACGTGAGCCCTGGAACATTTTCTGTCAGCAATTTCCTTACCTTCCTATTGTTGGGGTTGTGAATTGTTAGTACATGAACCATGAGGAGGACAAAAGATTCACTCCTACCTCGTGGAGAGCCAAGAGGAAAAGAGAAGGAAAATGAGGGAAACAGGGAAAAAAAGGCGGGATCCCCTCCCAAACAAAGCAGCAAAGCTAGGCTGCAGCGGAGCCGCCTCTCCCTTTGTGCTCGTGTGAGACAGGCTTGGTTGAAACCCCATATTTTCCAACACCTATCACCTTTTTTCTTGTATTTTTATTAAACACTTTAAAGAAAATATATAATTAAGTTTTAAAAAGAAATATGAAAAGAATGAAAGAACGAAATACAAATGAATAAAACAGGGATTTAGAAATGTCATGGAGATTAGAGCTTCCTAATATATCATTAAATTAGTTGTAAATAATGAAGTATTATTTACTTCACTATAAATCACTAATCACTTTAAAAGACTAGAAATCACTATTAAACTTTAAGCTCAAGAAACATGGTCAACAAAATCACTGAATAAATTATAAATGAGCTGTAATAAATTCAGTCCATATTACTAAGACTCTATTCTGATTTAGCTATTCCATAAAAGTGAAATATAGATTCTCTGCATAGAGAATGAGCTACCAATCCATGTATTAAATTATAGACTAGGAATGGTTTCCAGTTTGAACTGAATTCTATGTTACGTTTACTTTTAACTATGAGGTTATTTTAGGTAATTGAAGCATATTTATTGCTTCTTTTTAATTGAGCATTGTTTGCCACCCAGAGTCACTCTCTCGTGAGATGAACGGCTATATAAATATGATCAATTAATCAGTCAATCAATATTCTCACAACTTGGTTAGCCATTTCTCCATTGAGAGGATTAATAATGTGAGAAATGCACTCACAAGTCTTTCTCTGGGTTAGTCAGAAGTAAAGTTTATTGAAGCATTTGCAAAGTCTGGTGGGCTTCATTGCAAATAAGAAGCCACGCCTTCTTACAGATTTCAGTATATTTTATACAATCCTATGCCAACGCCCATCTCTCCCTATTTCCCCATTGGCTGAGGGGTACTCTGAGGTCACAATCTTTGCTGTCTGCCTACTTCCTGTTACCCCCCTTCTATAGACCACTACATACTACATACTAAATACATCACATGTTTATGGTAAATAGGTGATTAGCTATGTGGGGTGTGGTTTTTATTAGGCTAATAAGGGTTGGGGGGGCAATAGTTCATGCATTCCTAAACAATCTCTGCTAACTATCACTTTAGACAGGTCAAACTGCTCCAGACTGGTTTTATCTCACCTTGCCTCATCCCAGAGACATCTCCCCCTCCCCTTTTCCAGCTTCTTGTAGCCCCTTGTAGCCCCTTGGTAACTGTGGCGATGCCTCCTTATCTCTCATTCCTTTGAGGTAGTTAGTTTCAGAAAACAAGAGCATAGGTAGCTAGGTATACTCAGGAGCTATGGTCAGAAAAGGGAAGTTTTGCCTACGAGCAGAGTGGGGAAACTTCAAATCATTTTTAACTGCCAACAATAACTTTTGGATTCCTCCTTCCCTCTCAATAAGAAGTGTATACAGGTAGTCCTCAAGTTATGATCATTCATTCAGCGACTGTTCAAAGTTACAACAGTGCTGAAAAAATGGTCCCCGAAGTTATGGTCATTGCAGCATCCCTGCGATCACGTGATCACAATCTGGGCACCTGGCAACCTGTTTGCACTTACGATTGGTTGCCAAGCACCCCACAATCACACGATCACCATTTTCAACCTTCCCTGCCAGCTTTCCATAAGCAAAGTCAATGGAGAAGCCAGCAGGGGATGTCACAAATCACTCGGGTAAGTCTCCTCCACCCACCCTGGCCTTTCTTTGCTTGCACGCACCAGGATGCAGTGTGTGTGAGTGAGCAAAGGAGAGAAGGAGGGTGTGGTGTGTGCAAGCAAAAAAGGGGGAAGGAGGGCCAAGAAGCCCCTGAGCCGCAGCGTGGCAAGCAGCCCCAGACTGCGCAGGGTGCAGGGTAGCCAAAAGGGCAAAGATGCGGGGGGGAGGTAGGCAGGTGGAGGGAGTTGGAGGCAGTCCCTTACCTTACTGAGGCTCAAGGTTGAGAGGGACCAAGCCCGGAATGGCTTGGATTGGGGTGAGTCCTCAGCTAACGACCAGTGGAACTCACATAATGATAGTCATGGGGAGTGCCGGGATTGCCGTAGCTAAGCAATGCAGTCATGTGATGTCTTGCTTTACAACCGCATCACTTAGCAGAGGAAATTCCAGTCCCAATTGTGATTGTAAGTCGAGGACTACTTGTAATATCCTTTATTTAAAACCTAGGAATAAGGAAATGATTATCTATGAATTCCTAAAATTGACAGATGAGTATTTTGAACTGTTAATTTTGCTGTGCTGTGTGTGTTCAATTTCTCTCTTCAAATAAGGAAGAAAATCCTGAAAGAAGATGGTATGTGTGCACACTTACCCAATTTATGCAAATCAGGCAAATGGCTTGCAAAACCTGAAACAATTCACTTCCTTAGATGCTATCCCCCTTCCATAAATACAAGAGGAAACTTCAGTTTTTCAGCAGGCTCCCCTACTCATCTGCTGACTAACAGCAGTTGTGCTGTTTCTGCTCAGTGAAAATGAGGTCCTGGTTATTTATCTGCACCTTTCTGGGCATCACCTTCATCCATGGTGAGTTTAGACTGATTCAAATGTGAAAAGAGAAAAATAAGAATCTGGGAACTTCTAAATTAACCAACAAATAGTAGTAGTAATAGTAGTAGTAGTACCATTTTGACAGACTGTAAGGGAAAAATAGAGGCAAAATAGGACAAAAATAGGAAATAGAAAGGGAGCAGATGTCTATGTGGCAGCTTATTTCTATGCATACCTATCCAGAAGTTTGGTCCACAGGATTCAGCCATTGGTCTGACTTTGGGAGAAAAATGCCTGAGATTGCAGTCTTCAAGAGTTTACTGTATCTTCTGGACAGCATCAATGCCTTTTTAAAAGTATAACAAAGCTCTTAAGTCCAATAACTGGTACATGTGTATTGGTACATATATATCCTTTGTGGATAGAGGTTGCTGGATTAAACAGCAATTCTTAATTGGTTTGATATAATTCATTGCTTGGGGGATTTCTAAGAAAGGGTGAACTGGATCATTTTAATATAAGGCCCAGAGACTGACAAGTGAGGGGTAGGGGATAACAGAGCAAAAGACATAGAAATGCACAATTTCCGTAACAGACCCTTTACATACCTTCTCTTCCCCATTTTACTGGATAGACAGATTCCACTTGGATTATGTAAGTAAAGTACATGCGCTGAAATATACAGTGACCAAATCCTTGCTTTTACTTTATGCTCCATCTTCTCTTTGGATCAGATGTCTCTTCCCAGACCTGTCTATGTGCCCGGGGCTTTTGCGCAAGAGGCTGGGTGCAGTATAAGTCTGCCTGCTACAAGGCTGTGATGCAGCGAAAGACCTGGACTGAAGCCGAGGCAAGTGATGGTACTGGGATGGCATAGCAGTCACTGAGCTATCCGTGCCCTAAGTTCTACCAGATTTTCACATTTGTTCTACAGCCAACAGATCTAGAGCATGGGGTGGAGAAGAACAGCCTGAAAAGAGGGTCTCCCCCACCCTTCCCCAGTGTGGCAAAGAACAAGAACTGAACACTAATTTGGCATGATTTCACTGTGAGATGGTAAAAGGTACCCCCCATACACTTTTGAGCTGCATTTACTACCAAACCTATGAGATCCCCTCTGCTCCCCATGAACTGCTTAATGTGCCCTTGTAAGAAAACATTCACAGCAAGCTGAATTAGCCCTGAGTGGCAACAGGGGGAAGAATCAGCCAGGAACCTGCGGCCCAGTAAACCAAATGGTTTCTAGTCACTGGCCATATCTCAGAGATAGTACGGCTAGCATGCTGACCTAGCAGGGAGGGATCAATAATAATAATGTCGCCCAGATGGGTTTATCAAGAGCATTCTGATGTCATGCTGTAATTTCCACTGTGTCTGCCTTTTTCTTTGTCTTCCCTTTGCAATGTAGTGGGTCAAATATATATAAGCTCTGGTTCTGCTTTTGCTCAGAGCCGCTCAGCAAAGTATCAAAGCTTTGCTGGGGGTCCAGTATATACTGTTTTATTGTTTGCATGCTAATAAAATTATGTTGTATCTTCAGAGTGATTTGGTTGCTTTAGGTGAGCCAG